GTTTAATATGCATCTGAAATTCAGTGAAGGGTGTGCATTTAAAATGACTACAAAGCCAATGTTGAATGAAATAAAATCAGCACATTATGCACCAGAAAATATCATTTCCAGTGCTAAACGTGATGGTAATCTTTTTTATTAGTGTTTTGAAAGTGTTCATTCATTTCTTTTCATAAAAGAGAGTACGTAGACTTATAGTTGATCTGAAATTAAAAAAAAAATAAAGTCCAAGGAAGACTTGTAAATCTCTTTCCTACCATTTTTGTTCCCTTTATGACTACTTAGTTCCTTGGGAATCATTGAAGTTTTCCTTTCTGAAGTCTATGCTCTTTAACCTGGATTCAGCAAGGCTTCTTTGCTGTATAACTGGTGTCTTCTAAATATCCAGTAGTATAGATGATTAGTTGGCTTTGCTTGTCAATCATGATTTACACACACACACACACACACACACACATACAAATATGGAAACAAATAAAGATTTCAACAAATTTGCTCGAAGATTGTAATGAAAGAAAAAGTTGTATATCTTCTATCCTGTATTTAGATGCCTTTCGTGTCCAAATATGAGTAGTTTTTTTTTTAAATTGGTCTCTGCTTAGAAAATGCTTACTCACAAAAAGGAAAGAAAAAAACCCAAACAAACATTTTAGCATTCTAGCATTCCCATATGTAAGCTCCGTAAGTCTTCATGAGGCACTTAGGCTCTAAGCATGGAACTGTTAAGGTCATTGAACATTGCTGTTTCCTGAATGGAGATTTCCCAATGTCATTGGTTCCTCAATAACAAGAAACCCCGACTAGTACCTTCCATTACGCCTCAGCTGACTAACAGGACAGTTGTTTTAAGAGTATAAGAGATAGCAGACTAGGTCACACCTATTGTCAGTTCCACCAACTAGGATTAAATTTGACCAAATCAAATTTTCTTTCTGCTGTTCCAATGACACTATAGTTTACCACTACTCTATAGTATAACACCCATTCCACTCAGGTTGGAATTTGCTTTGTCATGTTCACTTCTACCTTTGTAGCTTCTTCATTTTTGCTCTCCCCTTCCAGGAGATGCCACCTCCTTACCTTTCTATCAACCTACTTCCTACCTACATCCATCCTTCAGGTCCCAGCCCACATTCTACCCATGAAGCTTCGGTTGTCTACTCAAGCCCTCATCACCTTTCTTTGAGCTCCTGCCACGCTCAGCCTATTTAATGCAATTTAGGAAAGAGGTGAAAAATTTAGGAAAGAGAGCTGAATTTGAAGTCAGAGTCCCTGGGTTCAAATCCCCATTTTGCCACTTTCTGCCTGTGTGATGTTGGGCAATTCACATCAGGACTGTGGCCCTCAGTTTCCTCATCTGTAAGATGAAAATTTGCTCTCTAAGATCCCTTCCAATTCCAAATCTGTAATTCTATGTTATCATATTGTTACTATTTTATTAATGTTATTCTAATTCTAAATATGTAATTCCATGTTGTCATATATTTGTTATTATTTTATGAATGTTATTCCAATTCTAAATATGTAATTCCATGTTGTCATATATTTGTTATTATTTTATGAATGTTGTATAAGCAATGGACAGAACACATGCTCCACAGGTTATCTATGGTATGTCAAAAAAATGAGAAGTCCCCCAAGTCACTGAGTAGATCTCTGGTACCAGCTTCACAGGTGGATGTGAATGAGAATTATAAAGTATGGTCTGGCAGGGTGGTCTGTACTGCTGGAAAGAATATTCCTATCCACGAGAAAGGAGATCTTTGGAGGTATTGGTGTTCTCTTTTCTTAGGGCAGGGACTGTGCCTTATCCTTCCTTTATGTCTCTTACAAATCACAGCACAGTGTAGACCACATAGGAAATACCCTATGATTTTTAATTTAAACACACCTTTAATTTTTAATTGATTGGATGACATTAATAGTTGTCATCTTTAAATGAACCCATTTGGGTTTTTCTCAGCAAAGATACTGGAGTGGTTTTCCATTCCTTTCTCCAGCTTATTTCACAGATGAGGAAACTGAAGCAAGCAGGGTTAAGTGACTTGTCCAGGGGTACACAGCTAATAAGTGTCTGAAGTCAAATTTGAACTTGGGTCTTCCTGACTCCTTGGTGCCACCTAAATGCCTCCTGTATGGAGAAGACAGAAGACAATGATATTATTATGGAATATTGTTATAGGAATATTGTCATATTCCTGGTTCCAGGAATTGGAGCTTTGGATTGAGTCAGACAACCTGGGTTTGAATCCTGATTCTGTGACACACTAGCTGTGTGTCATTGGGCAAGTCTTTTTTTTTTAACCAGTCAGTGCTTCAATTCTTCATCCATATTGTATCGTTGTTGTTGCTGAGTTTCAGTCATGTCCAACTCTTTGTGACCTCATTTGGGGTTTTCTTGGCAAAGATCCTGCAGTGATTTGCCATTTCCTTTTCTAGCTTCTTTTATAGATGAGGAAACTGAGGCAAACAGGGTTAAGTGACTTGCCCAGGGTCACACAGCTAGTAAGTGTCTAAGGCTGGATTTGAACTCCTGAAGATGAGTCTTCCTGACTCCAGACCTGGTACTCTATCCACTGCACCACCTAGCTGTCCCATCTATATTGTGAGGGCTTGTATTAGATGGCCTTGATAGTCTCTTGCAGATCTGAATTTCTAACCCTGTAAATAGTCTTTAAGCAAAATTTCAAGAACAGGATCTCTTTTCATTTTCGGTTTCGAGAATATCCAACATAATTTTGTATTCCTTGAATGCCACTGACTGGTCCGTACACTTGACTATTATGTGCATGCACACCAAGTACTTTATCTGTGAATTAGTTCCCTGGAGTCTATAGCCAAGAATGTTTCTCAGAGTCTTTCCTCTGACTCCTACAAAGCATTCATGATCATCTCCTTCCCAACTGGGTGTCAGTAGGAAACTTAATGGATGCAATCTCCAATCCATGGTCCAGGTCACTGATGAAACAATTAAATGGCAATGTGCCAAGGACCAATTCTATTTGTTTTATATTCCCAGTATGACCCTAAGAGAGGTCATTTAATATGTTTCTCAGGCAGCCTTTTCAAAACAGGAGGAATGCTTATTCATCTGGGATAGACTTTTCAGGTGGACCTCCTTAAAGGGCTCCTTTTTTTTTGTTAAAGACCTGAGCTGATGAATCCTCCAATCTCCCAGGACTGAAGTCCTTCTTTGACATTATATACAATTCTGTACACCTAATGTTCAGAGAAAAGAACAGCAGCCTTTTTCAGCAGAGAAAATAGGTTTTGATGACCTTTCTAATATAGTGCCCCATGGTAATTGAGGTAGGAACTGAGTGTTCTCTGAATGAACTCAAGGGATTCCCATTTGGAAGCCTGGATCTTTGCTCCAACTCTTCCTTCCCAAGGAGAAACTCTGTAATTTGTAATTAACACCATAATGAGGAGCCTTTGCAAATGGCCCCATGTTCAGATGTGCAGAGAAATGCATGAATGAGAGCAGAAAAAGAAGGAAACCCCAGTTGGCTTTAAAACTCGGTAACATTTTTAGCACACTCATATTCCACAGGCAGATTAGAAGGCTGACCTGTCTGACACTTCCGCATCACTCCCTGCTATTCCAATTGCCTCTCTGAATGCTTTTTCTCAAGCCTTTTCTTAGCACCTCTGAGACTGATGCCTGGCCCAATACCTATGTTCTGGTTCCTTACATCAAGGTACTGAGCTCTGTGTTGTTCAGAGAATTGCGATATTACATGAAGGGGTGGGAGAGAGGGAGAGAATTCTGCCTTGTTAGTGTCTCATACCTTCATTTGGAGATCTCTGGAGCTGTATTAGTCTTGGATAACTTTAGCTTTCTGTACATGACTTTGTTTCTTAAAAAGACATTTCTGTTATTTCTGCATCCATTTTCTGTGTCAAAATATTCATTCTTTTATCTATTAATTAACTAATTTGTTTTGATAGATCCTCAGATTTTATTGATATAGAGAACTCCCATCAAGGAAAATCCCTCTACTGCTGCAGATTGGCATCTCCTTTGAAATTTACAGTCTCAGAGAGTTGCCTGGGGCATTGAGAGATTAAGTGATTTGTCCAGAGTCCCACAGCCAGTATTTAGGCCTGGAACTCACCTTTTCCTGACTCCAGGGCCAACTCTCTATTTACTGTGCCTTGTGAATTCTCATCTCAAAATGAAGTTAGATAAAATACAATCAAGAAATAAAACCCCATTACCTGCCTCAGCATCTCTGGTAGTTTCTGTAGGTTGACTCCTTATACAGGTAAAATTCTTTGTCCCCATCCTTCCAGGATCTGTTTAATATACTTCATTTAAACCCTATCTCTCATGATCACTTGCCTGGGTGACTGTGGGCAAATGACTAGCCTTTCCTGGGCCTCAGTTTTCTCAACTTTATAATGACAGTATTGGATTGATTGGCTTCTGAGGAGCCTTCCAGACTTCCAGGAATGATCCTGTATTTCTAGAATGAATGATGGAAAGACTTTTAGATATTTTAATTCATATGTATACTAGGAGATGAGCTCCATGGAAACAGAACCCCCCACCCAGATGGTTTATATTTAAGTAATGTAGTTATGAAGAAATAATTAACTAACAGCATGAATACCCACCGGTTTTCCCTTGTCCCCTTCAGGTGGGCTGCAGTGGCCTACATAGTCCTCAGTTAAAGTTTCTTGCAAACATTGGGCTCTGGGAAATGATTAGTTCATCCCTAGGAAGCAGAATGTTTGATAGATTATGTTGTCTGATGCTGTCTATGGCCTCTAACACTTCTGGGTTTTTTTCTTTTAATTAAAAAAATTAGCAACTATAGTTTCCAAGATTGGGCTTTTAATTCATGTTTTTTTTTTTTAAAGTATGTAGTTATATAAGAGGCCTTCTTGAAGTACAAGGCATTAATATAGTACCTTTGGGATTTAAGCTTTAGGTGGTATGTTGATGCTTTAAATCACAAAACTTCCTTAGCAAATTATTTTATTGCTTTTTTTAGATCTAACATAAGGCCAGACTATGCCGACTCCAACTTTCATGACTTCAAAATGCACACCTTCACGCGGGTTACATCCTGTAAAGTCTGCCAGATGCTCCTGAGGTAAGTGTTGTTCCACACCTGGCTAGAGGGAAACATAGTGTGCTTTTGAAAACTGAAGCTCTCTGGGGGTTTGCTAGGATGATGTATCTGCTGATTATGATGTGCTTCGCTACATTTGTCCATACTCTTTCCATCTCCTTAAGCTACTAGAAATCTTTTTTTCTCACCAGAAGACATTGCCACCCTTTGCGGTGCTGCAGGCTCTTTTCTCAGACCCTCTAAAGCACTGCTTGAGGAGGAGGAGGAAGAGGAGGAGGGGGGAGGAGGAGGAGGAGGAGGAGGAGGAGGAGGAGGCGGCAATGTTCTCTTTACCCCAACTTCCCAACTGCTCTGTGCTACCATCTTTCAACAACCTGTTTTCCTTTGATGATCAATCATTCTAATTTTATCGCTCAGCCCAACTTGTTACAGTCATCTACGAACCTTAGAGTCATTCTCTCCTTTCTCTAGGGGCTCAGTATCTGACTTGTGGTTGTTTTTTCCACCCTGACCCCTTTCTTTACATATGAGGCTATTGACATTTTGATGTTCTTCCAAAGCCTGACTTCCCACGTATCAATCTTTTGATCTCCCACGACCTCCTTCTTCCTTCTGCCTCAGTCATTTGCAGAGATGGTCCTACCCTTGATGCATATACATCAGGGATGGCCATCACTCATCCTTGTTTTGTTGCCATAACAGAGAACTCTGAATTCCTCTCTCTCCAAGCTCCTATCCTTTTTTTTTTTTCTGGCTTGCCCCTTCTACATCTATTCTTCATTCTTGTTGATACCTCTAGTTCCTCCGACTCAGCCTATTCTCCCAGTCCATCACCCTTCTTTGGCCTCCCTTCTTAGTCTGGACCTCACACTTAGGCAGTTCAGCCACTCACTATCAGCTGCCCTTGAATCCCTCGTCCCCTTGTTCTGTTGCCAGGCATGCCTTGTGAAACGGTAAAGCTGGGCTGTGCCCGCCGTTCGCCTTCCGCTCCCGAAGACAGTCGCACACCAGTGCGCGTTTGGTTCCCTTTGGTCTCACCTGGGTGGCTCTCTGCTGCCCGGCCCTCCATCCTTTCTGTCCAGGTCTGCTCCTTCACCCTTAACACTCTTCCAAAAGGAGACTGGCTTCTTCAGGAAAGAGGACAAACAGCAACGACGCAGCAGCAACAATAACTTAGAAAATAGACTCAATTGTCAGTGGATCTCTCTTCTCTACTCCATAATCAATATCTCTTTTCGCCAGCCTCCATTCTCTCTTCCTTTACTCCATTCTCTGAAGAGGTAATCCTTTCCTTTGCCAAGCCTGATCCCTTCACTTCTCCTCTAGGTTTTTTTTTGTTTTTTATTTACTTATTTATTTATTTATTTATTCATCCATTTATTTATTTAATTATTTGTTTTTTGTGAGGCAATCAGGGTTAAGTGACTTGCCTAGGGGCACACAGCTAGTAAGTGTCAAGTGTCTGAGGCTGGATTTGAACTCAGGTCCCCCCTGACTCCAACGTTGGAGCTTTATCCACTGTGCCATCTAGCTGCCCCCACACTTGTCCTCTTGATCCATCTCCTCTCCACACCTGTGTGAGCAGACCTATTCAATCATTCTCCCTCTTCCTCTGATCTTCAGTGTCTCATCTACTAGCATCTTTCCTGCCATGTATAAACATGCCTAGGTCTTTCCTATCCTTTAAAACCCTTCCTTTATGCCATCATCATATCTTCCTTCTTTCACAAACTCCTAGAAAGAAGTATACTTTAAATAGTTGTTGCCTCAATTTCCAAACTTTCAGCGGTGCACAGTTGCCTATCAGATTAAAATATAAATTCCTATTTCTGATATTCCAGTTTCTCCACAATCTGATTCCAATGTACCTTTACAATTTTATCTGATACTAATCTTATCTACTCTGTATTCCAGTAAAATGCTCCCATTCTTGTCTTGAAATCTAGTATCTCCACGTCTTTGCTTAGACTATCCTCAGTGGCTTAAACCCCTCCCCCCCCCCCCCCCCGTCTCCGTACTTGAGCCATTCATTTCTTTCAGGTCTCATATCAGATGTCACCTTCGCCATAAAGCCTTTTCTGACTCCTCTGTCGTACATGAAAATGCTCTCTACCTCCCAATTACCACAGACCTTTGCCTGGTTAGCCCATGCATTATGCTTTCCTTCCCCACCCCCATTAAATTTACACAGTGTCTATATAGTGTTCATCTTTGAATTTCCAGTGTCCAACAACATGTTTTGTATATAGTAGGCACTTAATAAATGTTTAAGTTAAATTTGGTAGGACTGTTGACTTAACAGTCTGGTTCTTATTCCTGAACAATCTTGACTTGCTCTTTCCTCTATTTTCTCTTTCTCTGTCTTTCCTTGGAATATTTCATGGGTGCTATTTTTTTTCAATTGCTATTGTTTCCTAATGATTCCCTCCTATAAAAAGAATCACCCTCCCCCTGTAACAGGTACAATTAAACAAAACAAGTCAACACATTGACCATGTATATAAATTAATATCCCATTATATTTATGCACTTTTTTTTTTTGCTTTTTGGTGAGGCAATCTGGGTTAATGGATTTTCTGAGGGTCACACAGTCACACAGCTAGTAAGTTAAATGTCTGAGGTCACATTTGAACTCAGGTCCTCCTGACTCTAAGGCTGGAGCTCTATCCACTGAACCACATAGCTGCCCATTATGCACCATTTGTTAAGCCATTTCCCAATAAGAAGGCACCCACTTTCTTTCTGGACCCTTCGTACTCCAAAAAAAGTGCTTTTCTATCTAAGGGACATTTCCCTCTGTTTTTGGCCTCATTATATTATGTGCCTAGTCATGATAACTCTTGTTCAAAGATTATACTGAGTTTACTGACTTTTCTTCTAATTCCAAATGGACATCATTTCCTCAAAACTTTCAGTTAGGTTTTCTTCTCATTCTGGAAATGACTTTGAATAAAACCAGCATTAGTTTCTTTCATTTGTTCTAATGATTTCATATATAGAAAGAATTTATCACCTTTAATGTATCACTCTCTAATTTTACTTTTCAGAGGAACATTTTATCAAGGCTATTTATGTTTCAAGTGTGGCGCCAGAGCACACAAAGAATGTTTAGGAAGATTAGACAATTGTGGCAGAGTTAATTCAGGTGGTAAGTCATTTTTATTGTTGTGATACTGTTTTTAATTAGGACATAAACCTTGCTAAACATAATTAAGGCTTAATTTACCCTAATTTGTGTTTATTGTAACATATATGCTTTTGAAACTACCATTTATAAGCATAATTAGAAGAAAGCTTAAAATTCATATGACTTATCCTTGTTAAATTAAATGTTAGAGAGAAAAAGAAAAAAAAAGCTACTAGCAGATAGATAAGGAGTACCTCTCCCACCTCTCCCACTATATATATGTGTATATATATATATATATATATATATATATATATATATATATATATATATATATATATATATATTCTATCACACATGATTTTCTTCTAAGTAGAAAAAAGATTATTCTTTCTTTAGCATCTATCTAACTATCCATATATCGTAATGACTTAATCGTTGGTATATTTGAGTGTTAGATTTCTCTAACATGCTGCTAGATGTTTGGGGCAGTCCTTCTATTTGGTTGCTAAGGGCAAAAATTATCTGTAGACTAATTCATGAATTAATGAGTTCAGCACATATAGACACACACACACACCACACACACACACACACACATATTAAAGGCTTAATAATTGATGCATTGGATTGTTAGATTTCTTCCAAATCCTCCTAGATGGTTGGGGGCAGTCCTTCTATTTGGTTGCCAGGGGCAAAAATCATATGTAGACTAATTCATGAATTAATGGATTGAATTAATTATCTTTTTCCAACATCAAAGACATAGATTGCATTTAAAAAAATCTTATTTTAAAACTTTGCCCTGGTTAAAAAAAAAAAAGGAATGTCACATTCTTGTTACATGAGACAGACAATCGGCGCATAGGCTCTCAGGATCTTTTGGTCTGCTTGCAATTATGCATTCAGCAGGCTTTTATCTCTCATTGCCCCTTCTGGATTCCCTTAACTCTCTTCTTTCTCTTTCTTTTCTTGCTTCTTTCTTCTTTCTTTTTCTTCTTCTCTCTTGTTGTCCTTTTCCCCTGAGTTTCTCTTTTTATCAATAAATCCTTTCAAAATCAGTCAAACTTTTTGAACACGAGAAAGTGAACTTTAACCACTTGAGTTCAAAAGGCAGCCATGTCAAACTCTGATTTTTCCCAAGGAAGCAATGACATTGAATTATTTTGGATAATGTGAAGAGTACAATAGAGAATATGAGCTCATTTTAGATTCATTTAGGTTCAGATAATGGGACACTTGTTACGGGAAGAGGAGTTAATTATATCTGGTCTTGGAAATTAAAATTTAATGCTCATATTATAAGAAACCACTTAATTTCCAGCAACTCACAAGAAGATAGTATTAAATGATAGACATCTGTGGTATAGTGGAAAAAGTACTCAGATTAGGAATCAAGAGATTTGAACTCTGTTCTTTACTCTATTACTAACTAACTGTGTGACCTTAGGCAAGTAATCTAACCCATTTCAACTTTAGTTTTGCTATATGCAAAAATGAGGACACTGGGCCAGTAGTAGAATGTAAGTGACACAAGGCCTATTTGGACTATTTTAAGTTTTTCATGTTTGTGTCTCCAAAGCCTGGCACATAGTAGGCACTTAACAAATGCTTGTTGATTGATTAGTTTTTTAATTGAATTTTCTAAGGTTTTTTTGGAGGGAAAGGGAAAGAATATGGATCTGTAATTTCATCAGTGTGGGAACTTATTCCAGGAATCCATACTTAACGACTTCACTGTAGTTTAGAGTCTTAGTGAGTAGACTGGGGGCACTTAACCTCTGTTAAGTGTCTTGCCTATGGACATAGAATTATTAAGTGTTGGAGGAAGGACTTGAGCCTTCCATATCTTCCTAACTCACCCTCTGTCTACTACACAATGCTCCTGTTCAAAGGTAAATGATAGGGAACTTTCTTTCTTTCTTTCTTTCTTTCTTTCTTTCTTTCTTTCTTTCTTTCTTTCTTTCTTTCTTTCTCTCTTTCTTTCTCTCTTTCTCTCTTTCTTTCTCTCTCTCTCTCTTTCTCTCTCTCTTTCTCTCTCTCTTTCTCTCTCTCTCTCTCTCTCCTCTCTCTCTCTCTCTCTCTCTCTCTCTCTCTCTCTCTCTCTCTCTCTCTCTCTCTTTCTTTTCTGTCAGCTAGGCAATGAGGTTAAGTGACTTGCCCAGAGTCACACAGCTAGCAAGTGTCAAGTGTTTGGTCTGAGGCCGGATTTGAACTCAGGTCCTCCTGACTTCAGGGCCAGTGCTCTATCCACTGCACCACCTAGCCGCCCTCCAGAACTTTTCTTTTTTAAATTGATGTTTTATGTAGTTTTATTTTTAAGTTCACTTTTCCTAGATTAGAAAATATGTATCATACTTTCTAGATATAAAATTCTATCCAATTAAATTTAGCAAACATTTATTTAGTTCTTGATATTTGCAAGATATTGGGCTAGGCACTGAAGTGAAAGGTCAGCTGTTAATTCTATGTAAGAATGGGAAACAGATGAAATGTAAATTAAATTCTCAAATAAAAAAAAATTAAAACCTCCAAACCAAAGCTAATAAGTAGTCAAATGTACCTTTGTATTTTACCTTCTTTACACTTGTTCTCCATGCTAAGTTTTTGTCAGTTTGTGCCCACACTTCCCTTGGATACAGTGTGCATTGGAGGGAGAATGACCTAGATTTGTGAGCGAATATTATATTTTTATTATTCTTGCTTTTGCATTTTATTGATTAAATGTTACGGCATGATTATTTTATTCTTGCTTTTGCCCTCTCACTTAGTCAATATTTTATGTTTAAGAATTAATGGCATCATTGTGGCTGCTTTATGCAAATGGGAAGCACACCAGTTAGGGGTGTGACAGTGACCAGTTTAGAGGCATGTTTTCCCACAGTGGAATACCGTGACACTGAGAGTGAGTTTAGTGATATGGTCACCACATTATATAACGACCTCTATTTGTCTGGACTATAGCAATAGCCTTCTGGTGGATCTCCCTGACTCAAGTTTCTCCCCAGTCCTCTACTCAGCAAGCAAGTTTGTCTTCCTAAAGTGCAGGTCTTATCATGTTACCCCTCTACTTAGTAAACTTCAGTGGCTCTCTATCACCTCCAGCATCAAAAATAAAATCTTTTGTTTTTTGCGTGCTGAGCCCTTTATTATTATCTCCTCCACCCCTCTCTTGTAAATGGCAAAGGACTATGTAATGAAGTATAATGAGACTACTTCAATGCTTCAAGGACATGTGCTTTCCTTGTTATGGATGCTCCCTTCACTGATGCAGATTGCAACTCCACTAGCTACAAAGGGGTAGATAGTCTTGTGGAGTTGCTGTAGGCAAAAAAAAAAAAATTATCACTCTATGCCATCCTGGAGATGAATCTCTCTGAACTAAGCTAGGCTAATTCTTGGACAATAGATATACTATTCATCATCACATCTGTCCTTTGACACTTTCCAGAGCTTATACTCTGCTTTTATAATCTTCAGGACCCTGCATCATCTCCACTTCACCATAAGGATTCAAAGTAGAACTTAAGTGGAAGGTGGCACAGTGGATAGGGCACTGGACCTAGAAATATGGAAGGATCTGAGTTAAAATCTGGCCTCAGGGTAGAGCCAAGATGGTGGAGTAAAAGCAGTGACTTGCTTGAGCTGTCCCTCAAACCCTTCCAAATAACTGTAAAAAATTACTCGAAACAAATTCTAGAGCAGCACAACCCACAAAAAGACAAAGGGAAACAAATTTACAGCCCAAGACAACCTGGATGGTTGATGGAAAAGGTCTGTTGCATTGGGCTGGGAGAGGAGTGCAGTTCAGTGTGGGCTGCAAAGACAAAGACCAGGCCAGAGCAAACCCAGAGCAGGCCTCAGGAGACTGAATCATGGGCAGCTGTAGTGGGTTCCAGACTCAGCCCACAGACAGTGGGGAGGATCGAGTGGCTAATCAGAGGGGCACTGCAGGGATCTCTTTGCTGGTGCTGAGGCAAGATTTTCTTGCTTTGCCAGTACTTGGATCTGGGTCGCAGTTCTGGGTGGCAGTCCTGGGGCGAGAAGGAGTGTTGGTATGATGGAGCTTGTTGCTGTGGTGGAATCCTCCTCACAGTCCCAAGGCAGAAAATAGTGCGTATGGTCACTTATAGACCAGAACACAGGCTAGGAGAGGAGTAATGGCTCTCCTTAGACCATACCACCTTGGAAGAACTGAAAATTTACAGGTCCCTAGAAGTATCTCTGAAAACAGCTGCACAAAACCCCTGAAGCATGGGACAGTACACCCTCCATACTGGAAGCAGAGCCCTACCTTAGCAAAGAGTTAAAATGTCAAGTCATTGGCTGGGAACATGAACAAACAGTGGGGAAATAACTTGGACTATAGAATCTTGCTTTGGTGACAAGGAAGATGAAAACATACAACCAGAAGAAGACAAAAAGTCAAAGCTCGTACATCCAAAGCCTCCAAGAAAAATATGAATTGGTCTCAGGCCATGGAAGAGCTCAAAAAGGATCTTGAAAATCAAATAAGAGAAGTAGAGGAAAAATTGAGAAGAGAAATGAGAGTGATGCAAGAAAATCACGAAAAATGAGTCAATAGCTTTCTAAAGGAGACCCCCCCAAAATACTGAAGAAAATAACATCTTAAAAAATAGACTAACCCAATAGGCAAAAGAGGTCCAAAAAGCCATTGAGGAAAAGAATGCCTTAAAAAACAGAATTGGTCAAATAGAAAAGGAAGTCCGAAAGCTCACTGAAGAAAATAATTTCTTAAAAATTAGAATGAAGCAAATGGAAGCTAACGACTCTATGACAAGTCAAGAAATTACAAAATAAAACCAAAAGAATGAAAAAATAGAAGACAATGTGAAATATCTCATTGGAAAAAACAACTGACCTGGAAAATAGATCCAGGAGAGATAATTTAAAAATTATTGGACTACCTGAGAACCATAATCAAAAAAAGAGCCTAGACATCATCTTTCAGGAAGTTATCTAGGAAAACTGCCCTGATATTTTAAAACCAGAAGGTAAAA